ATATAAAATGTGGATATCTTTAAAACAGGAGCAGCTAGGATTTCAATTTAAGCGGATTCTTAACCTTAAGATATCAACAAATACAACCCTGCTTTCAGATTTTGTCGACATTTTTATGCAACCTATCTTCGCTTCCTGCCCACCGTGTGCAATAAGCGTTTTTGTGAAGCTCTAAAAATTACAACTACAACATTTGAACATAGCCCCCATACCTTAAGGTAAGACGTATTCTACGTCAAAAAGTTAAGTAAATAATATACATATACAAAACTTACCCAGGCGCTGGCGGTTGGGCGACGGGCATCGGCATGGGCATCTCTCCATGAACGCTATAAACGAGAAAAAGGTGGAGTAAAAATCAAATTTCAATAGGATTCTGTTGCTCTTGTAAAAGTTTGTTAGCTATTTTGAATTGGCGCTGGCAAATGTGTTAATTACTTACCCTGTTTGCGTTGGATACGGTGGGTACATGGACTGCTGCTGATAACCAGTGGCGGGCGGCATTTGTGTAACTGGATAGCCGCCAGGTGCAGTGTGTGTAGTTGATGTCACAACAACTGGTGCTGTAGAGAAATTAAGCGGAATTAATTTGATTATTAAATACATATGTATGTACATATTAATACGTAATATAAAGATTTGAAGAAGTTTTATTGTTGAGAACAGCAAAAACCTCTACTTATGTATCCTAAAATTTTTTCTTGAAAAAATATATAAAAAAAGAAGTTACGCATTTTATGTCTCGCTGAACAAATTTTTCCAAAAGTCCTTCGCTTTAAGTTAAAGTCTTTAACATACGGTTTGTCTCAGAATTCAATGTCCATTTTCATGTATTAATAATGAATCTGGATAAAGCTAACAAATTGCGATCAAAATCATACACTCAGTATTAGTGTTGTGTTCCGGAGCTCGCAAAAAAATCTATGAACGGTTATTTTGAACAGACTAGGTGCTTTATATGTTTTTCGGGTCGCTGCACACGAATCTGAAGTGCGTTTTGCTCCATCACTTCAGGATTTTTTTCTAACCTTAAAAAATATGGCTGACTTTATGTAGTTGCAGACAAAATTTTATAAATATTGACGGATTCACCTTAATCATGGTAACCTAGGTCGCTTATAACGAATAGGATTCAGACTTTCAAAATCCAAAATGACGGCTTGGAGCCGTGGCGTGTGGCGGTCATAATTTTTCAAATTTATGGAATTTATTTGAAACATGCACTTAGATTTTAAAAATCAAAGTCCAATATGAGGTCGAAAGGAACTCAGGAACAACGACATAGAATGGGCGTTTGAATAAGGTGGGTCCCCTCGCCTTCTACCATTCTTAAAAAAGATTTAAGTAAATCCGTCAATATTTTCATAAGGCCGGGTTAGAAAACCTTTCATAATTTTTTTGTGTGGTTCGTTCAAAGCAACTGGCAAAAACGGTGCTTTACAAAAATAATATGAATTGCATCCTCATGGAAAGCTTAAGGCGAAAAATGCACGAGCTATTTTTCATTCCCAATGAGTTGTGTCTAAAATAAACTGCCGATTTACAGTTACTATGTTTTTTTAACCAAAAAGCTATAAAAACTTTTACGCTATTTTTACAATTTTAAGGCAAATACACAGCTAACTAGATGTCTCATTGGTTCAACTATAGTTAAAACCAAGGGCGTACCCAAGATCAAATGTGGTCCTTAAATGTAGGAAGCAAATTCTTACATCAGATTTCTCAACCCCTACGCCGATGCTACTATAGTCGAAGATATCACATATAAATTTTGGTCCCGATTGAAGTCGGTTAAGGCGTGTCGCACAGAGGTCGAAAATCAGATTACCCTATGAAGACGTCTTCACCAACTTCCATGGGGGCATATGTCCTTTGACCCCTTTGCGACACGCCTTAACTGACTCCAATCGGTACCAAAATTTTAATGTGATATCTTCGACTATGGTGGTATCGATTTGGGGTATCAGATGAAAAAAAATTTATTTTAATTTTTTGAGTCTCTATACAGGAATTTGTAATTTGCCTCCTGTGCGACACGCCTTAACCGTCGCCAATTGGCACCAAAATTTATATGTGACATCTGTGACCGTGGTATTACCGATTGAGCGGATGAGACTAAAAAAAAAGTTAATTTGATCTGGGGTTAAGGACCACCCTAATGTATATATAGTGAAAATTTAGAATCAAAAATCGCGCGATAGTGTTAATAGTTTTATATACAAAAAAACGTCGCACTTGCTACTAAAATACTGCTTTATAGTAACAAAAAAAGCTGCAGGCGAAAATTTAGTTAACAACGTATTTTTTTAAAGAAAAATATATGGGGTATTCACAACGGTGTCGTAAGTGTCGTATTGCTGTTCTCGAGAGCTTTAAACGCCTAAAAAAAATGCTACGGGGGTTCGCAAGTACCATCATTGAATTGAATGGGCTACCAAACTGCATACCCAATAAGTTCTGAATAAAGTTTAAATTTTTTTTGAAATTTTTTAAATTTTCTTGAATTGTGCACAAGGTTTTAAACTTTGACCTACATATGTATATGGTTTATGGTATATGACCTACTATATTTTTATATATTATTAATGAAAAAATTTATCACGCAAAGCATTGTGAATATTGTAAAATATAAAAGTGTGCTATTTACGTACATGAGCGCCACTGTACATACATATGTTTATCAGATCAATAATACTCATAGCTACTTATCTTTGTCATTAATTATTTGCTTTGTAGTAGCATTTTTTATTTGCTTTAACTATGTACATAAGTATGTATGTATGTATGTATGTATGTATATTTTTCTGTTCTTTTCTGTTTTTTTTTCAATAATATCCAACCTTTATCGGAAATCTGTTCCTTTGTGTGTCGTTTGCGGCCTCGCAAAGAAAATGCGCCCACTACGGCCAACGCGAATACGAAAAAAGTTATTGACAGAGTGAAGATCAAACTATCGAAGAACATTACAGCGACAATTAGTCAATAATGTAAACAAAAATAAATAACAAATAAGTAGAAATAAAAGCAACACCAAAACGCAACCTAACACAAAATGTATTCAATCAGTACTAACGAAACATTTCAGCGAGAAATCTTTGTCCACTCATTGTTTGCAAACGAAGTTTATAAAGTAAATGCCTACGATAAGATGTTAGCGCTTGGGTAATAAAAACTAAAATAAATACAAATTATATACGTATGTATATCTACATACAGTATCGGTCATATATATCTATAGCACGCCATTCCAAAGTGATATTGTGTGCCACTTATGTTTATTTATTTATTTTTAAGAATTTTCAATTAAAATACAGTTCTTTCTCTAACAAAACCCATATAAACCCAAGTTTAAAAACTTATAGAAAACTACAAAAAAGTGCAACAAATTTTCACCTAAATTTCAAACTTTTTTCTCCGAAGTGTTTGAGTTTTTCTGAAAACACAGTTTTATAGCCCAATCAATTTTAGTCTAATAATGTGCAAGTTTCAAGTGGCTAAAAGTTACCGCTGATTTTTTAGAATTTTTTTCGCCAAGGATGTTGCGGTTTTCGTCCATATACAAATAAATTGAGTTTATTCATTATATGGAAGCCAATGCGACAAAAAAAATTCTAAAAAATTAACGGTAATTCGTAGCCACTTGAAATTTGCACATTATCAGACTAAAATTGCAGGGGCTAAAAAACTGTGTCCTCAAAAAAATTCTATCTCTTCCGAGAAAAAAGTTTGAAATTTAAGTGAAAATTTGTTACACTTTTTTGTAGTTTTCTACAAATTGTTGAACTTGGGTATATATGGGGTTTGTCCGAGAATGAACTAAATTTTAATTGAAAATTCTTAAAAATAAAGAAATAAACATAAGTGACACACAATATCACTTTGAAATGGCGTGCTATAGATATGACCGATACTGTACATTAGACCGTAGCACCTTACAAGCAAACAAAAAAAAGTTCAGCGTACACCACTGAGTCTAAAGTGTTTTCGCAAGGAAATTTCGAACTTGGGGGTCGCCAGTTTACATTTTACTAAAATAATCGAAATACTTACTTAGCAAAAGATGAATAGTTTGTTGAGTTCTTTAATTTGCTGACATTAGGGTGATAAGAACAGAGATCTGGTGGTTAAGTACTAGAATGGTGTACCTGAGGCCAATGAACTTTGGAAAAAAGACGCGTTCTCGAGACAAGAACATTGATATATCATACTTTAAGATTTTTGTAAATGGAAAAAAATCCCTAATTTTATTTTTTTTTTAATTATATTTAGAACTACATCAAAGCCCTTGAAGTTTTCCATGTATTTAAAGTGGGGAAAAAAACTTTTCTTTGTAGAAATGGTACAGAATCTTTTAAAATCAATATTTTCAATCGGAAATCTGTTTCTCTTCAGGAGACTTCCAACAAAAATCTCCTATTGTATATTTAACCATTTCTTAATATTAACTATTTTTGATAGGTCTCCCAAAAACTCTTAACAATGCCATTGGGGCTTATGAAAAATCGTTAGCATTAAAAAATAGTAAAATAAACAATTTGGTATTATTATTGGAAGTCTCCCGAAGAGAAACACATTTTTTTTTTACCACCCTAATTGTACATGCTTACGTACATACTTAAATTTTATGGATACGTATTTTTCCCTTTAGATAGCGACGGATAAGTGTACATTATCTGGCAGCATAAAGAGCTAAGGAATATACAGTGGTGCACTTATAATTAGAAACCGTGTACAAAAAAACGAAATCACTGGACAAATTTTTTGAAGACCGAACTGTAGGGGAAATCATACAAACTTAATTTTACAGTTTTTCTAGATCAGGTCATTTTCCCAAGATACAAGCGGGTATACAGTCCTCGCCTGCTACACCATAGGGATAGTTTGTTGAGAGATCTTTGAATTAGAAGGATCAATATTGAGAGGTGTTTACCCGAGTTCCAAGTTATGTTTACTGCTATGTTCCACAGAAGCGTTTACCCTGCCTGGGGCGTACCCCTAACCGTGAACCTTTTTATTTTTGATTCACCTAATCCCGTTCGATAAACGAGATTAGTGAATAGCTTACTCCCAGATTTAACAGCGATTATTAAATCGCTCCAGGAAGCTTAAAACAAAGGAAAACCTTCGGACGGCGTTAAACGCACACCGTCTGCAAAAGAGACATAACTCAGAATTACACGTTCGTCAGCGAATGCGAAAAACTATTTCTTAGCACATGATAATCATATGTGCAAGGAAGACTTTACCTTAGGTTTTTTCATCAAATCATAACAAAAAACTTGCTCCAGCTTTTGCTGAAAGGTAAATAAAAGCTCTGTGTACATTTTTGGTGCAAAATTTTTAAAATGCCAAATTTTGAGTTGTGTGACTTTTGAAGATCGCTTGCGATATCTATTACTACACATTCTAAATATGCTCACACAACTTACAGTTGCTAGCACTTTTATTAGAAACAAAACAATAAAAGGCCGCAGCAAGGAACAGCAGTACTACAACAATAATTATTGAAATAAAAGCCGCGACAACCATCACCGTTTTGAGAATAATTTCGATTTAACTGAGG